ATTATAAACGAATACTGCGGGCTAACGTACCTGCAGGCGTGGCAGGTAATGTATAAAAATAGGAATCGTGGAAAACAGACCGTATGACGTATGTAACGAGTCCAAGAGTGTGGCGGCATCCGTGCCTGAAACGAACACACCCACTGATGACAGTATGCATGCATGTATGTATGTCCTCACTGCAAAGTTGTCTACCCAAACTCTCGTGTACGTTTGTATCATTTTTCATTTTTTTATGTTTCATTTTTATTTTTTATTAAAGTCGTGAGCTAACCGATGTGAGAGAAACACCAACTACGGTAAGCATGTACTGTATGAACTGACGCAAGACATGCCCAAAAATAACCGGTAAAAGGTAATTACAACCCCTCACACACTTCATGGGAATACCCCTTTAAGAACTCACAACACAGAAATTACAGCTAAGCAAACATTAAGCCACGTGCAGGGCAGTGCTGACCCCCAGTGGCCAACCCGGAACTCCCTCCCTCCCTCACACAGCTCCACAAACAGACGCAGCAAGATCCGCTCGTAAATCCCCGAAATCACTCGTGGGCGAAGTAGGAGAGCCCGGTTACTGTAAAACCCTCCGTCTCGTGGAGAGCCCGTATGTGACGTCACAAACCCGGAAGTAGAGATGACGTTCGTGACCCGCCGACGTGAATCCCCTGTGAGCCGTGCCGACTTTAAAGGCACAGGCTCCTCCCACAAATCCAGGCTAGCCTTCGGCCAGCCTTCAAACTTAGCCAAAGAGTTGCTGCCACTGCTGTGACTCACGCTATGAAAGCTCCCCTTATTGTAGGTCTATAGTTTTGCCAAAAAGAAAGCTGGTAGGTCATCTTTGGGCACTGGACTCTCCCATTGGCTTTATCTAAACCTTGTAATCTGTGTTTGTTAGCTGCAGAGCATAATCTCCAGTTTTACAGTCCTGTCACTACCATTGGTGTGACTCATTAGTAAGACACTCCTTAAGGCTGATGAATATGGGCATTCCCTCAGCTATCAGCTTAGGGTTCCCTACCTCCCCCACTGCTCTTCTATACTTTGGCTCATTCTGCTCTGTGGTTTTCTGCATTATATTGCTTTTGTGTACTGTTTTAGTCCGTTCCATAATGCTTTTCACTTTAGAACCGTGTCATAGACTCACTCTGAGATCATTCTCTTCAGACTGAGCGTAAAACTATGGTATTTACTGTCTGGATTTTTTTTTTTCTTTGGGCACAAAGCATTCCTCGATTTTGGACCCTGGCACAACCTATGGTTTGCCTAGTCCCTCAGTTCTCAAGTAGTGTGCACACCTGGGCATACCGATGAGCTGAGAACTACATCACAGCTGATGCAGTTGCACACTTTTTGTGTTCCCGCCTGTTTTCCCAGTTGGCAAGGAGACAGATAAGCTGAACACGGATGTCATTCATTACTCTAGTATGGCACATGTGTGCCTTGGCACTCTTTTTTTTTTCTCTGCCTGAAAGAGGTAACACTGTTTTGGAAATGGGTGAACCCCAGTCTGGTTCCATTGCCTACCTACAGGTCACCTCTGAACCTCTGAGACCCTCAACTTCACTTTGCTGTTTTTTGTGAGTGCATGAGGCATTGACTCACTTTGGGCCTAGTCGTTTCTGCTTCTGGTACATGTCATTATAAACAGGGCTGTCCCTACAATGAGGCAACCTGAGATGGTTACCTCAGACAGCATCTTATTGGGTTAAGTGGCCTGCTGCCCTCTTTCAGGCCAGAGTGTCTCAGGTTGCTAAGAGCTTCCCCCTCCCCCCGCTC